CTTGCGAATCGCGCTTTCCCCGGTCGCCTGAAGCTGATCGAGGTTAACGTGAGTATCGATTTTTCCATCTCTCTCCCACCTTCGCATTCCTTTTCTCGTGCGCGGTGATTTGGTTTCGGGGATCGTTTCGGTTTGCATGCCTCGGGAGAGGCGGTTTTTCGAAAGTAACAGATTGATTGTTTCGAGTGAATATTGACCGAAAGAACGCTAGAGTTGTTAATGTAACGGTTAGCGCGATAGAAGTTTTATATTGGTGCTCTGAAAATCTGTTTCAAACATAGAAAAAGAGAGAAATGTAAAAAGATTAAATTAAAATAATAATGTAACAAAGGTAAAAAAAACATTTCTACATTTTTTTTATTTCTTTCGCTGTACAAACTCGAAGTTACCGTTAATTCTTTTAGAGCTGTTTAAAATAAGAGCAGCAGAAATGATTTTTTTATTTATTAAATGTTTTATTTGTTTGCTTCTTCGTTAAGCGGGTTTTATTCGCGGTTGATAAATGTAAAAAAAATAATTGTAAATATTGAACTACACATATACAAAATGCATGAATAAAAATGCATATATGTAGAGCTTTTATTCTACATAATCTCTGGGATATTTTGTATGCATGTTGAAAAGTGAGAAGATTAATCTGAAATTTGGAAGCGTTCGGGTGATATTGAAAAATAATCAATCGTGGAACAATTTCGGTAATTGATGCGTTTACTGCCGAAAGAATGAATTCTATAAAGGTCGCTTTGAATAAGCAATTTTTAATTCTTTGCGTCATTTTTATTTCTCTTTACTTCATCAGTATTTTTTTTTTCGCGCAGCACGCATAATAACAAATTTATAAAAATATTTGCGAAAATGGCGAAAGTGATGCTTTATCAAACGTTTAGATCGCAATGACAGGAAACTATTAGACTAAAATTTGCGAATTAGAGTCTTGTCGTGCTGACAGTATCGATTTTCCGTTTAAATCACTATCAACGTGTATGATATTAGCGACCTCTCGACGCGCAAGCCGCGGCGGTGACGTTGCGAAGGCTAGACTCACAAAGTCTCGAACTACTTTAATAGCACGTCTCGCCAGAGCTGCGATTATTTGTCACGTAAGAAGATTAAAAGCAAAGTTTCCGGCGGCGACTGGCGCTATTGTCATACGTACTAAACGACACTGTTGAAATTGACAAGTTGTTAGGATCATTATGCTGCCGCTAATCACTCTATGTGCTTTTCATTATTTCTCTTATGGAATCTGTTTGAGCATTAATACTTTAATACTGCTGCCTGAATATTAGCACTTTAATATCGATTTTAATTGCGTATGTCGATGCTATTACTCGATATCTTGCAACATCAAGTAACTCCGCAGCTGCAGCTAAATCAATCGAGTGTACGCAAGTAAAAAAAGAACTGTCGTACAATTTGCATAACAAATGGGCAAATAATTATTTTATTTCGTTGAATTTATTTTGTTTTATTTATTTTTGGTATATCTCTGAGAATTCCTTTTATTCTCCTTTTTCAACGAGAATGTCGTTGACTCGAATACACAAACTGCATCTCTTTTCTGAGAAATTAACGATACTCTGAATCACCCGGGATCACCGCATCGAGCTCTTCAATTATCAATCATTCCTTGATATCTCGAACGCCATTTACTTCCGCGTTGAAACGAGCGAATCGCGTAGTTTCCTCCCTCTCCGGCCGCAAATCGCGGGAGAAAGATCAAGCAACCGTGGCATTAATCACCGAGGAGCCATAATAAAGAGGTTATTATTATCCCCCTCCTCTCTCTCTCTCTCTCTTTCTCTCCTTCTCCGCGCCGGCTGAACTTCCACTTCGAGATCATCCGGCCGGTATCAAACGACACCAGTTGGCTCGACAGGCTCGTTGACAGAGAACGAATCGCTTTTCAATGGAAATCCAACCGGGCGGAGGGTGGTCCAGATGGCGACGGGGGCAGTGGTGAGGAGGGGGGGGGGGCGTCGAGTCGGCGGACGCTATTACGCGTAGCTCCTCGAGGTGCAAATTTCATTGAGATTGACTATCGATCGCGTCTCCTTCTTCAATTCTCCCTTCCCGCTCGGTCACATGTTGCCCATCCAGGCGACGATCGGAGTGCCTTTCTTTCTCCGGGTGTACTTATACAATTAGAACCGGCTGTGATCTGAGTGCGTCTCCTCGTCCCCTCGTCCCCTCTCCTTCTTGTTCTCCCGGAAAATTGATTCCCGTCTGTTTCTTCGGCGTTCTCTCTCTTTCGCTCTCTCTTTCTCGCCCGTCGTCGTCTTGGTCCGACATCTTTTTTTCCTTTCCACTTTCTTTGACAATGGATGGCGAATCGTTCGCCGCCGAGTCGTCGGCCATTCGTTCTCATCCGCGAAATTAGTTTGGAATTACGCGTGAAGAAGATAAAGGGGAAAGGAGGACGCAGTTGACAACGAGGGGTAAATTCGCAAGCTAAGTATCGCCGGACGTTAATGAAAGCGATATATCTCGAGTCTTTCTCGTGTCACCTCTTTCCGCTAATTTTCCCTTTACTTTCCATCGTTCTTTCTTACCTCACCTTCTTTTCGCCTCCTTTTCTCTTCCCAGGGATATCAATATCTATTATTATTTAATAAAAGTTTGTGTATTTTTGTTGAAAATAATTTTAGGGAATTCATCACCTTCATTGATGCAGACTAAAATTGAAAATGGCGAAGTCTCGATTAAATGAATAAATGGCGGGTAACATTTATTAAAATAATAATATTTTATAATATTTCAGACGTAACGACACTTTTTATTTAACGCTTCTCATCGCTCGAAAAGCGACGAGATAATGTGAAATATATCTCTCTCTCCTTTTTTTCTCTCGCTTTTCCCATTTTCCGCTCGATCCTTTTCCGTGATTATCCAGTCCGTCTCCCTGTTCCACCCTATCCTCGACGCGATGTCCTCCGGCTAAGAGTTCCTAGACGCTCTCTCAACCCTTCCCTCGCATCCGTACCCACCTCGTCCGGCGCTTCAGCCATCCCACGCATTCACCATTGTTTCCGCGTTTTCTTTCCGGGAATGACTACTCGCCGTTACTCGTAATACCACCCGTTCGGACGTGTCCTCCCGCTCACTCCCCATTACACTCTCTTCAATGCCCTCCCACTCCCTCCCTCAACGCTGCTGATTAATGATCGCTCGAGGAGGCTCATGATAAATGGCGGAGAAATCTCGCGAAGAGAGCGGATTCGTTTGTGTAAATTAGTCCTCGGAATGCATACGTGAGTTTGAACTTGCTCGTTGCGCGCAGGAAGAGGAATTGGTTCGATCTATCGAGGAAATGAATCCTGTGCATCTTTGCGTTGGTGCTGAATCTGAATTCAAGCCGATTTTTCGTCGTTTAACTTGATTTCGTTGCGGAATATTTTTCTATCTGCATGATTATTCTTTTTATTTCATGCAATTGAACATATTTTTCTAATTAACACTATTAATTTATGATATGCTGTTAATATGTATTTCAATCAGAATTTCCATTACACGTTGCAATTAATTACAATAAATATATATATATACACATTTTTTATCTTCGTTTTTCAGTTAATTCAATTTTTTTTGTCGATATTAATCATCGAATATGTAATAAAATTGATAAAAGACCGAAGATGAGTTTTTAAAAATTCTAAACTACATTTTCTGAATCTTTTCCTTTTCAGGGTGCTAATGCGCGATCGTCACTTGACAATACCGAAGATGTAGAAAATATTGTAAAGGTAAGTCTTCTATTAAAAAAAATTTACTTTTATATTAAAACAATTATTATAATGAGTTTTATTTACGACTAAAACTAAGTAGACGAATGGAATTTCTTCAAATGAGTAAAATTGGTGGATGAATGAAAATTTTGTTCTCGTCAAAAGGTATCAGAAGGATTTTCGAAATTTTGCGAAATGCGGAATGGCCGCGAAACATCAGCGGCTCGTTCCGAATAGTGATGAAAAAACTTGAACATCTTTCCGCGGATAAACACAAGATCAGACGTTGCGAGACGTAAGATGGTCGAGCTATCCTATGTCGAAGTTCTCTTTCCCGGCTCGACGGGAGGCTTATGCTCGATCAATAAGTCAATCTTCTCGCCGATACAAGGCTATCTTGTATCGAATCGATTTACCATTCTTCGTTCACCTCCAGCGCGTCCGATCTTCGACGGCGATATTATGTCACGCCTTCGCGAGATAAACGATCTCAATTTCCCGTTTAATCGAAACTCCATGGAAAGCGATACACGCGATTTTTGTGGGCGGCGCTCGTGCGATTTTCGGAAACGAAGATGGATTTTGTGTTTACGAACGCGAACGAATTTATCTCGCGGCTGTACGAGATCTCAGTTCGAGTTTATCTTCCCTTTTACGGAGATTAAGCAAAGAGATACACGACGGGCATTTCTCGGCGAACGTCTTTTGTGAAGTAAGATCGCGGTCGTCTTTTTCGTAGAACCCTTCGACTTTTGTTGATTTTCAAAAGCGGTCTCCTAGATTCGAATCTTCCGCGGTATTCTTCGTTGATTTTCAAAAATTAAGCGAGGAGATCGCATTTACCTTACTTGACGGTGATCTTTCCGCTTTTACTTGCAGAGTTTTTTTTTCCGCGCTTACTGCAGTTCTTCCTAGCGAAAATTACGACGAAAGCACCGCTATTATGATTTGCGGTTTGTGGAAATTACATCTCGGATCTCTTTAGTTCATTATTAATTAATGTTGTTACAATTAAATGCACAGCTAGCGTCGTTCGCTTCATTATTGATTGAATAATTTGTGCAAACTATCAAAAAAGTCTCATTAAATATTTCAGTCGTTTAATTGAAACTTTTATGTTTGTCTATCGATCGCAGCTGCAGTTCTTTACCATCTCTTATGCGCTTTAACGTAGCTTGTTAATAGAAAATTTATTAAAGCATTGTCAGGTGGACATTCTCAGGCAGCCTTGTCACATTTATGAAAAGTTGTTCGATAATAAATGGATCTATGTGCAATTATTTATTACATTAATTTTGTATATAAGATAGCAGCACGCGATGCACGCGCCACATAGATACTTTAAACGTGAATTTCTCGAAATTATATAATAATTTGAGTTGCCTACTCGTAAAACATTTTTAAAAGTACGTGAGTCCGTCGTTATTAATTTTGACTGACTTATAGTAAATACACAACCCGATACAGTAATTGTTTAAATATAAAAGTAACATATATATAATATAATAGCATATAAAGTAGCAAAGAAAGAGATGATTCGTCTTTTAATAAAGTTTCTTCATCATCAGATAAGTAAACAATCACTGTTATTCGCGCTCAAGCGATACGATTATGACAATCTTTTCACGCTAGATCGTAAAATATTCCCCTGAGCGCCAACGGCAAAAACTGCAGCTCGCGCGAAACGGCTGTTTACGCGCGGTGAGAAACGGAATTATATGTACGGTAGTAAAGAACGCATCTCTTCGCGGAGACTGCACTCTGACAATGCGCACCTTTCTCGCTTCTGCGTGAAAAGCACCTTGTACGTGTACGTTCGCGATACCATCGCGAGATGAGACACGCAAACTCGGATTGTTTCTTCGAAGGAAGAAGGATGTAAGAGCGAGATTAGAGGCTCCTTAGATCACGCGAATTTTTTCGAAAGGCTGATAAGCCGCGGTAATGTAATTTGCAACGCTAAATTATAAGTTTGGATAAAATTAATTATTATTTCGGCACTGAGGATTTAGCTTTTAACTTAAAAATCGCAAGAACAGCTGTTACGAGGAACGTACAATATGTTCTCGGTAACGCTACGACAGGCCGCGATTAGATGCTGTTTTTATAGAGGACTTACATAAGTTAATTATTAGACGTAACAAGTGTTCAAGTGCGAAGAGGAATTGCATTGAAAGGTGAAAAAAAAGTAATGTTGTATCTATCCGTTTTCTTTCACACTCAGAAATATAGAGAATACGTTGAACGGCTCTCGCATATTAATTTCCACGGAGCATATCGTAAGAAGTAATAACGACATTGTGAAATTACACATCGCGAAGATGGAGATTGCAAAATGATAGGTGCATATACGTTATATCAATGAATGCAGCTGGCGACTAAATTATCCGGGATAAGTAATTATGGTCGTAAATGCAATTCAGCGGCGGAAGGGTGAGCGTTTCAGAACGACAGCGTGAATTTATGGCGCCATTCGCGCGCGGCGCACGTGTGGCGGCGAGACACGCTGAAATTTCCACGAGTGTGGAAACGGAACTAGCGCGCGCGGGTCCTCTGTCGCTCGAGCGCCCTCCGACGTGTCCGACGCCCCGCAATGATTCAACCCCGGTGTGCCCCGGCTGTCATGCTGTTTTTTCCCCGACGTGACATATTCGCGCGACGTCGAGTCGCCCGAAAATAGTCATCCCGCAGGATCGCGTAATCCTTTGATCGTCGACGAAATCGTGTTATTGGGGGAGTAATTCTCGAGGCGGCGTTGTTCTCCGGATTTCGTCGGTTCGAGTATATAACGGGATTTTAGCAGTCTACCGCTGCGACTGGGGTTGCCGGAGGATCAGCGAAACGAGTTAGGGGTCGGCGGAATCGTATGCTAATTTATGGATATGGTTTAATGGCGATTACGGGCTCCGATAACACCGAACCCCAGCAGTCGTAACGTTGTGACAGTATCAATTCACCTTCGCGTCCAGATTGACGTCGCCCCGACACTTTGCTCGCATCGTGATTGATACTTTCGTCTGTCGGCCAGTGCTTCGCACCGTCTGTCCGAAATATCGGAAATCGGATTTTTCTTCGCCAAGTTTCGCCGTCGAGTCCATCGCCGAGCCGTTCGAAAATATGCAATGTTAAAGGAAATATTTTTTACACATATTTTACACAGAGACGTTAGATTTTTGTGTCTTGCATTAGCCGTCGAGCGTGTCTCGCGTTGAAAAAAAATCACGAAACACGTAACGTTTCGAGCGCGATGTGGAGGAAGCGAAGCGTAGAGGTGCCGCGAGGGCGGGAGCGCAACATTATTAATTCTTTTAAAGAGGGAGTGACCGCCAGAAAGAAGCCGCTACTGTGCATCCCATTTGTTTAACGACCCAGGCTCGTACAGCGAGGCGCGCCGCCCGCGAGGCTTTTCCACTTTCAGCACGAATTTATGACGATGCTGCCTACCGAGTGGCCGGTACAGTTCTGCCTCTGAAATCCCTCCCCTCCCCCCTCGCCCTCCCCGCGCCGCATCCCTTCATCCCTGCCGTTCGCGGCCACCGCGCCAGCGTTCGGTGCAGGAGCGCCGTCGGAAGACCATGAATTATTCTCACGGCTCTGCTCGTGGGAAAATGCGAGAGTTGCGCCAGTAGGCATCGTAAATGCGACTGCTAATTGCGCTCGCCGCCGACGACGACGACGACCGCTCTCTCTCTCTCTCTCTCTCTGGCTGGCTAGCTCTACTGAATATCGCATTTTTCTATGGCCCCCTCCCTCTCCCCCTCCTCTCGTTTATTTCGGATGTTTTTGTCTTAGATTCGCGGAGCGACCTTTTGTCGCTGCGCGTTTTTGCCTCCGCGCGCAACATTTTCAACTTTTAATATTCGATACGAAAGCGCGATAGTCTCGTCTGATAATTCTAAAATTCGCGAGTCTGGAAGAATTTTCACGCTGCTGAAATTTCGATTGAATATATTTACATCGATTTGTAAGACTTTTATCGACGCGAAGTGGATTTAACCGATTGCGAGATTCACAAGCCAAAATCCGTTTCTATCGCGATATCGGAAGCCGGCTGGAATTTCGGTATTTAATTTTATATCGCGCGTATGGAAACGAATCCCCCGTTTTTGGCCGGGCGCCAAGGCGCTTAAAACTATTAGGTATCAATTGCTGTCCTCTATTTTTCGCGGGACTGCAGCGCGGTGGAGAAATCTTCGTGGACCCAATGTAGCGATTTATTCGCACTGGACGTGCGAAAAGCCGTGACCCAGATGGGGGCGCAACGGGGCTATACGTATCGAGTGACATTGAATTAATAATCGTACTTTTGCGCGATAGAGCCGTTCGCACGGGAGTGGAATGCATTTTTTAAGGGAACAACTTCGCGGCATTCCATTGTAACGCGATGTCTAGATATTTTCCCCTCCGTCGACTGTCGTCGACCTAAGCGACGGATCGATGAGGGGGGGCTTAACATCCGAAACTCGAAACGAGTCCGATTGTTGAGAATGTGAAAAACGTCAATCACGTATAAATGTGCGCGTTACGCGCGTCGATCAATGACACCCGGCTGATGAATTACATTCATGAGACCCCACGGGAAACAATGATGCGCCGCATCTTTAATTGGAATCATTAAACATGCACGCCATGGATTTAGGACGATGTTAATGAGGTCAATTCGATGTCGATTCAATTAATCTAAAGTCATAGACGAATCTTTAATCGGAGCTGTATTCAAATTAAGGTCGAATTCGATTTAATCACGGAATATTAATCAAGAGTGGAGACGCATAAAGAATTGTTTTATTTTTTGCAAAGATAACTGAAGCGAAACTCCATTAATCTGAAGAAATGTTTCACGGTATACAACTTTTTGTTTCAAAAATTAGAATATTGCTGCACCGAGCTTAGCTGCGCATATTTTTCGGACGCTAAATCGGTCGTGCCGCAAAGAGTCGGGGAATGCGGGTTTTCGCTTTCGCAATCC